AAGAAGATATATTCGAAACAAATCATTGCTTTTAATTAATATTTCAGGGATAACAATAATTGAAACATGATTGTTTTAACTTATAAATGTTTAATCATAATGAGAACTACATAGTTTAAGTATGCAAGCAGAATGTGTTGGCTACCAGGATTTTTGAATATATTTTGCAAGAATACCTAAACTTCGTTGAAAATTCAGTCCTGCTTCAAAATGCAGTGATAGTGATCATTGGCAATCCTCCAATTGCAAGATCGTCCTCATAGTAAATTTTTCACCCATGTTCAAATGAAGGAAAAACATCCCTTCAATCTTTCAAAAAATCCGCATTTTCGAACACCTATCAAAGGCCGTCAGCTGGACTGGAAAATTCGTTCGTTTCGCTCCGGCAATCGCGGGTCTAAACAGTTGTACCGAAATTTACTACCAAAGAATAATCTTACAAAAGTTCTCCACATTTCGTGCAGCAGTTTTTTGATAATTTGACTCGAAAAAGCGAACTATTTGTCCATTGTGGACGTTCAAAAACATACCGCGTCTACGTTAAAACTGTCCGCCGCGTATTACGCATCGTACCACGTGACATGGACTGTCCAATTAGATACCAGATATGAGGTCGCAGGTCATGACATTTAACAAACATGGCGGCGTCCATTGCCAAAAGTGCACGAAATTTATTGCCAAAAGTTGACGAAATTTAATTTTGGAAATGATATGGAATACCTGAAACATATTGAAAATAGATAATCTTAACATTGAAATGATAGGCCTATGCCTGAATTTCTTGTTTGAACTATATATTTTATAATGAATTGTTACAAACCTAAGATATTTTCCAAGTGACTGTAACAGTTGACTTTAGTGGAGAAGATTTTGCAGTACTGACATCCACGGGCGGTCTTTGAAGTGTTGAATACTTGTGTCAGGGAGGTAATTACCATGGATGAATCATCTTTCATGAAGTAACTCTTGATGTAGACACCATGGAGATATGGATGTTGTCAAATTTGTGAATATCATAGACCGATGCCTTGATGTACGCTGTTGGGTCAGAAAGGCTAACATTCATCATTGTTTTTGGTACTCCATCTTTTTTGTATCTGATGATGTCTGATCGTGCAGTGAGTACACATTTGAGGGGTATGTTGTATGGCTTCTTGGGACCGTCTTTATGACGGAGAAGCCATTGAAATCCACGAAGTTGATGGAGGCCCCGTGCACGGTGGGGGATGATACACATTGGACCCGGCGTAATCATGATGAGGGGGCCCGACAGGAGACTGCTGACATGGCTGATAGTACCCGGAAGAAACTGCACCGGCGGTCAAAGGGCGCCCGCTGTTGGCCGTTTCATTGACGCTATTTGACATCACAGGTACGCTAGCTTGATTGACAAGAATAGCTGGCCCTGCTGACGACTGGCATGACCGGGGCGGGGCTATGGTGAAAATACCACCGGCCGACGAGAACACCGGTCGAGTCGGGACGTATACCGTCGAGCCGTCTCCACTACACGGTTGGACCGCCAAACCCGGGGCCGGGCTGGCCGGTGGAACGCCATCGGAAAGAGGGTAGGTAGCACGGGCCCGACGCCTTGGCGTATTCTTGGCCTTGCGACTCGTCGACGATTGACCGCCGGACGTCTGATGCTGGCCTCGCCGACTGGCAGAAGATTTCACGGTTGTGTCCGTGAAACGGGCTGGACGCCAACGAGTGCGTTGTGGCTGATCACGATTCATTGTGAATCTGAGCTCAGTCCAAGGATATGGTCAAAACAGGATGAAAAATCACTGATCCAAGCCGGCAAAAGTAATTCCAAAAAAATTCAACAGAAAAATGAAGAACGAAATTGGTGTGTCTGTTCACACATTGGAGGGCTGTGACAGAGTGGCCGTATAATACAGCCCGCCGAGCGCCCAGCGTCTCGACGCGCACCCATGAAATCTGATTGGTTAACAGTTCTTCCAGCGCCATTTGCCTGCCTGTGAACTTTAGCCCTTTGCATAATCATCCCTTAAAAGGTGAGGACCTGTCCGGGCCTGTAATAAGCAAAGCGCGCCACAAATAAGCGACAAAAAGTTTGGTGACCGAGATAAATTTAATTGTGGGTCACCAGCTGTGCGTAGCATCGATACATTTTAAATACAAAAGTCAACAGGCACGTACGAATGCAATGGCCTGGAATAAAAGAGATTTCACCGAGTATAAGACGTTTTACCCTTGAAAGGGTAAAAGGAATTGTTGATATTATATCAGAGTGATTAGTATATTTTAGTTTTTCTAATTGGAGCTGAAGAGGAGAGTTGTTTTTTTTTTTTCACGTGCAAGATGCATGCAAAACTCAAAGGAAGTCTTTCCATCATGTACAATGTACTGCCTGACTGGGTTTAAACCATCATGTCAACTGTAAATTATCGTAGACTACATGTAGCTTTTTGTGAGCCACACATGCTACAATTTGGTCACTGACAAAATGACTGCTGACTATAGTAAAGTATCATTTGTTATAGACCCGTGAACGTCGTGTGGTATACAAAGCCACGCGCCTCCCTCGGGTAAATACTAGTGAAATCATTCTATTTTTTTGATGCACTACACATAACCATGCATAATTTTGCCCATATGTACGTATATCACTTACTTGTTGGGCTTCCTGTGAATTTATGTGAGTGTTGGATCTGTCATTGCCAAGAAATTTGATGTAAAATACGGCACAACTTTGTGACAACGAACATTTTGAAAATGATCAGAAAATCAAACACAGGTGTGACACTCTGGTACCCAAGTTCCGCTTGCGCACAATGGTAGGAGTCCCACCAGTGGGTACCCGACTAACTGCCTTACATCGTAATACTATGTAAAATTCTGCTATATCCACTTCGAAAGTCCGCCAAATCATGCAGTATAAATTGCTGGTCCATTGTGCAAGGATTTGTTTCAGGGAACATTCAATAAATGAAGGTTTTTCATACGGAATGTGCCATATTTTCTCTAATCTGTTTCATTTTCCTTCTTCATCTTCATAATTCTGCCGAAAAAATATTCTGCTGGATTTTCTGTACAACTCATTTTGTATCGAAATATGCAAAAATTCTGTCAAATGCAGCTGAAAATCGGCTAAAATGGTCACTCCATCTTAGTAACCGCAGATCACAATAGAGTATTTTTACTATATTAGATATTCCTTCATGCACCGATCAGTAGACACATGGAATAGACTCCCCAACTTTGTTGTTACGGCACATGGTGTCAAGTCTATTGAGGCTAGATTAGACAAGCTCTGGACATCTCAACCTTTCAAGTTTGACTTTGAAGTGCCAACCCCAACTTGCATGCACACATACCAGTTTAACCAGAGTTATGAAGATCTGATGAGAGAGGCCTACAAAGGCCTAATATCAGAAGAGGACCTTTAAGTACCTGTATTAAAAGTGTGGCTATGTTCACGGGTCTACATTTGTTTAATTGTCTGCTGGAAACGAAATTGAGAATTGTTTAGAATTTAAAAATCAACAATTGGCAGATAATGAGAAGTTTACAATATAAATAATACAAGCCTATTATACTGTTTTGAGTAGGCCTACCTTGCGCTGTGTAGATGTACAAGGCAAATTTGTTGCAAAAAAGATATTCAGTTCGCTCAGTTCAGGAACTTCGGCTGATGCCTGGATCAGTGGTCAGCTGAGCTCGGACAGAGATACAGTGCGCCCTCTATTCGAACAAGTGCATTGACCTCCAGCAAGCGGTTGACAAAATAGTATGGTTCAGCTGCCGTTTGATAGAATGTGTTCCATTTTACAATGTGGAGGCTTGGGGACAAATCATGTCAGTTGTGATGCACATGTTGCATATAGGCCTATGGGTTACACCTCTATGTTCCGACACCCCTATGTTCTGACTGCACATATTCCTATTCCTAACCCTAACCTTAACCCTAACCCTAACCGGGAGTAACACAATCTAAGTTGTCGGAACATAGGGGTGTCGGAACATAGAGCAGTCACCGGCCTATGCGCATGGATACAAGGTACGTCGTGTTTGCTTGTTATGCTAATGCTATGAAAATAATGTATGCTCTCTTGGTAATATTTTGTTATTATTTTGTTCGTAAATTGAAACAGAAAAATATGTTATATTGCTTGAGTATTAATGTAGAAGACATTGAGCATTTGCTTGGGAAGTTGTGAAACGGAAGGAATGAATGTTGCAACCTGACGTTACTTCGGCGGTTGTGTACGTACAAAAGCAGACAGGGCTCTGGACATTGCTGGAGTGCTGTGAAACGTCCAAAACTAAATCAGGGCCACTTTACTCAAAGTTTAGCCAGCAAATTTCTCAAAAAAATCCACTGGGGCAAAGAAAATGTTCTCAGTATTTCATACTCCTAGAACTATAAGGCTCCACTATGTGGAGCCTCATAATTCTAGGAGTAAGTTTTTCACCGACCAATTTTGCAGACTGAATTCAATTTTTAAAGGAGATTTTTTCTTCAATATTTTGCACATGAGAGGCTAGAAGGGAAGTCATGTAATTTCAAAATGGGGATAATACTGGACTGGTACACGTCCAACCATGGTCCAACTATTTGAAAAGACTGACCTGTTCATTTAGTGTCAATAGTCTGTTGCCTTGTAAATTGAAACTAGTTCCCGCTTCATACCATAGTCGGGGATCTTGGGGATATTTTTGTTCACATTCTTCCAAAAGCACCAAATTTAGCACAGATGTCGTTCATACCATACTATTTCGAAACCCATTCGATTGAGGATATCTGGGGGATGATGTGGTATGTGTGAAATAACAAGTGTTGGAGATGTTGCGGAAAGTTTCAAAGTTGAAGTGGGGTATATTGTCACGTATCAGTGTTTCAAGAATTCCTTGTTCTGCAAATATGTTTTTAAGAAGATATACAATGGTGTTGCCGTTAGAGTGACCTTTCGGTATCTTTCGCAAGTATATGTACTTGGAATAGTAGTCAGCGATAAGTAAGTATTCCTCATCATCTAGGAAAAGATGTTGGCAGCTATTGTCTGCCATGGTCGATTTGGTAAGACACGTGGTTTCATAGGTTCTGATGGTTGTGATTTGCCATGGGATTGACATATGTCACACGACCTTGTCATCTCTTCAATGTCATCATTGATGTTGTGCCAAAAGACACATGTCTTTGCTCTGAGCTGGGATTTGATTATGCCTTGGTGTGCTTCGTGTATGGTGTTGAGGATGTTTTGTCTTTCCACTTTGGGGATGACAATCCTCTGGCCTTTCCTTATAAGCCCATTCTCAAAAGACAGCTCGTCCCGATATGCCCAGTATTTCCGTAGTGGTTTTGGAATCATCTGTCGGTTGTCTGGCCATCCATTCTGTATGATCTCGCGAAGGGCTGCGAGTTCTGCATCGGCATTTGTTGCTTCTTGCAGCTTGGACACATTTTGGTCAGAGAATTGAACATGGTGTACTCGTATTTCTTCTGTCTCTACCGGTGCTCCCGGTAGTGGATGGAGACGAGACATTGCGTCTGCCAGTAGCATTTCTTTGCCTGGCTTGTATTTGATCTTCACATCATACCCTTGAATTCTTAGCAGAAGTCTTTGCAGTCTTGGTGGTGCTGCGTTGAGGTTTTTGATGTGGATCATTTCTAGGGGTTTGTGATCTGATTGAACAGTGAATGGTTTGCCATATGCGTATGTGTGGAATTTTTCGCGAGCATATACTACGGCTAGCATCGCACGTTCAATGTTGGCTTATCTTTGCTCTGTATCGATCAGCGCTTTGGATGCGAAGCAGATTGGTTTAGAGTCTTGCGTTAGTGCTGCTCCGAGACCTTTCAATGAGGCATTAACTTGTAGGACGGTTTCTTTCTTTGGGTCGAAGTATGCCAGAGTGACTTCTTCATAAATGGCCTTTTTGATGTTGTCAAATGACATTTGATGTACTGGTAGCCAATCGTATTCACGATCTTGCTTCATCAGCTCTCTTGAGGGCAATGGCAAGGAACTGTTGTAATTCCTTTGTATTCTTCGGTGGTGTGATAGACTCGATTGACTTCACTTTTTCTGGGTCTGGGTGTGCTCCTTTAGCAATGTAGACAATGCCAAAGAATTTGATCTGTGGTTTCTTGATCTCGCACTTGTCTAGGTTGAAGACAAGGCCATGGTCTCGTGCAACCTTTATTAGGTTGTGTAGGTTTTCATCATGCCCCGACTCAGTCTTGCCAAAGACTCCCAACATCGTCTGCTATACCGACTGTGCCTAGACACTTCTCTAGGATTTGGTCCATCTTCTGTTGAAATATGTCTTGACTGACACATAGCCCAAAGTGAAGCCTAGTGAAGCGAAATCTTCAAAAGGGACTGTTGAATGTCGTGAGCATGCTCGATTCTTGATCAAGGGAAACTGACCAATAACCATGTCCGGCATCAACTTTGGAGAAGATTGTACTTCCAGCAAACTTGTATGTGACCTCCTCTAATGTGGGGGTGTGGTGGTGGCTGCGCTTTATAGATGCGTTTAAGTCTTTTTGGATCTAGACAGACGCGCCATCTACCGTTTGGTTTCTGTGAGTATGCCAAGCTTGAAACCCAATCTGTAGGTTCAGTTACGGGTGTTATTGCCCCTAACTTGATCATGTCATCCAATTCTTTCTTTATGTCATCTTTAACTTTGACAGGGCATCTTCTGGCCGCATTGACAACAGGTGGAACTTCTGGGTTAACCACAATACGGTACTCTCCGTCGAAGTTGCCAATATCTTCAAATCTATCTGGATACAGTTGCTGTAGGTCTTGTTTTGTGTTGACCTTTGTCAATGACTGTGTCTGTGTCTCTTGAATGCTGCACTCGAGTGAAACAACTTTCAACTCGAGGCATGATGGTAGGCCTAGTATGGCAGGACCTTAAACATCTGCAATGTAGAATTCTGTATTCTCATTTTTCTCTTTGTGTCCGCATGGTATTTTCATTGTACCATAGTGTGGGATTGTTGTCCCATTGTATGCCGTGAGTACCGTTTTCTGTTTTGTACTTTTGTCTTGTTTTGGAAAACCCGTGCTGTCAAGTTTCCTTGGGTACATTCTACGGAATATGGAGAGTGGCAAGATGTTACCTTGGGCACCAGAGTCGAATTTTACTTTGAGTGTAGCAGGATTAGGCTTGTCATCTAGCTTTATGTCTAGTACTGCATAAGCTTCATCTTGTTTGGTGATGGTGTGACCAATATGATTTATCTTTATAGACTCAAAACTTAGTTGATCTAACGTGTCTTGGATCTGTGGTTCATCACCTTGATTGACTGTACTGACATTTTTGCTTTGCGTGAATTTCTGCCTACCCCTACTCCTACTTAGGGATTTTGGACATGTACCATGTGTTGGTTTGTCCTGTGTTTGCTTGCGAAATCTGCATACGCTCTGCCAATGGTTGGCGTTGCCGCAGGACCTGCACGTACTGCCGAGTGCAGGGCATTTTGCTTTCGCATGCTGCAGACCGCATTTGCCGCAGTTAGCTGCTTGAGGTCACGGTGGTGCTCTTATGCTTTTGTATCGCATTGCACCAACATTCAATTTTTCGCTTTGTTGTAGCTCTTGCATGTGTTGCACGGTAGCTTCTTTGGTTCGTGCCAAGACCATCGCTTGGTCGAGAGTGAGTGAATCATCTTTTGCAAGCAAGATCTCTTGGATTTTCTTAATCTTAGTGCCAATGAGAGAGATGAGTCTCTCTTCACACTCAGCAGTGCTGAATTTGCAACGCTTATCTTGTATTTTGCATCTTGTCATATATTCATCCACCGATTCATTCTTGGTTTGCTTGAACTTTTGCAAATGGAAGCGGAAAATTCGACTTTGGTTCAAAATGTTTTATGAATTTAGTACGTCATTATGACTTTCGGATCATTTTTTTCTTCATTTTCTTCAATTTCCCATGTATTGAAGATGTCAATACCTGCTTGACTCAACCATAACAGCAGGTAATTAACACGTTCGGGTTCAGACTTTTTGGACTGGGGGCCTTGAAACACAAGCTCACAGTAGGCCTTGAATTTATTAAATGCAGTAGATTGATCTGCTGCATCCCAGTCCATATGGGGTGATGTTATACCTGACATTTCCCCCATTTTGACTTGGTTACCCTTCAGGTATCAGTTCAATTTGCATAAAAACTATTGTAGTCTTTAAGAACACAACAAAAATTGTTAACAACAGTAAAATATCATGTTTATCAGCAGGTAATTAAATGTACATGTTATATTAAACAGAACAACTTGAACAATGATATTCGGCAAGGATATAATAGTTCTGCAGAACTGTCCAACTGTTCAACTGTTGTCTGTAGTACCGTTCAGCTGTTGCATTGTTCACTGTACATGTCTAGTGTAGCGGTGGTGGTCTCCCGCTCACCATGTACCGTTTAATGTTTACGTGATTTCCAGCATTTTGATGTACGTGTTTGACGTTCACCAGTTCCGTTACTGCGGTTGTCCGTCTTTCTTGTTTGCACTTGCGTGGTGCCGTGGTCTCTCCACTTCGTGTTTTCGGTTGAGAGGGACAGAATTCTCGGTCTCTCCACTCGGCTCGTACGGGGCTTTGCCGGCTCGGACTCGCGAGTTTCAGCTCCAAAATTGGTGCCTCAAGTTGATCGGATAGGTGCTGTGGCGGTCGGCTGCCCGTCTGGATTCCTGTCACTTTTCATACATGACTGTGTAGAACAGCGGTGTGGCCAGTCTATCAATGTTGCATCTTGGCCTATGTCACATCACTGGAGAGGCGGTCTGGGATCCTTCCTCTTCTGCAGGAACTCAACGTTCACATGCGGGGATCAGACTCAGAGCACGTCATACGATGCGTCTTGTCAGCTTACCAGCTTTTCACCAGCATATCAATGCGCCGCACTTCCAATCCCAAACTCTGTGGCACGGGACGGGTGTACTCTTGAAGTACTGTAGCACGCGTCATGTACGGTGTACTGCACATGCCGTACAGCGTGTATGGCTGTATGTGCCGTTTCCGTGCGTGGCTAGGCTTGGCTATGCGAGTGTCGGCTGAAGTTCACATAGTAAAAGTTCCTTGAGCCTAGTAGGAAGGTTCCAACCGGTTTCGACTATGTAGACTTTTCCGCATTCACATGGAATGCGGTAGACTCCCGCCTTGGAAGAGGAGTCCTGCTTGTCCTTTTGAGTAGGGAGGCTGCCTTGGAGCTTGTTGCCCGATGAGCAAGGTACACCTTGACACCGGCTTGTCGGAGGATGCGTTGCAGATGATGAGAAGCTAAACCTATGTAAGGAAGAGTGACTGAGGGAGATACAGTGGAAGGACCTTGGGTATAGGAGACCCGTTGGTCAGGTTTGCTGATCGTGATGCGGTGGGGTTTGTAGCCGTTCCTCCTTGAAGTTGTGTATACATCATATACACATCACAAAACACTTTAATCTATGTGCAACATATTTCAAATGCTACTGTATCCACAATACAAATTACCACAAGTCACTTTCTACACAAGCAAACAAGTGTTTATAAACGGAAACTCTGAAAACGTATCTTCCATACAAGACAACGCTACAAAACGCACACTACATCGGAGTTTTCATGAAGAGACAAATTTGGCCGAAATCACGATTTATTCGAAATTCTTTTTTGGCAGAAATTGATTAAGTGTGTTGCAACAGACATGTTTGCGAATTCATTTTGTCAAAATCAGATAAAGTCCTTGAGATCATCAAAATCAATGAAGGGGAAATTTCACCCGTCATATTTTCACTTTTTGCTTAGAGACAAATACACTGTATAGGCCTACCCAAAACCACATTGTTCTATGAAGACAAAACCACACAAGTTTGCAATTTTGAGTTTTCACAAGAGACAAAATCGAGCTCCTGTGAGCAAAACAACACTTCCAGTCAAAACGACACGAGTGGGATATATGTATTTAGTTTTCACAAACAGACAGATTCTGCATCTTTCGATACAGGAGACCCTGTACAAAAAGACAACTGGATCATTGCTCATTTGCCCAGCAAAACCAATCGCGTATAGAATTTTGGGTTTTCAACAGGGACAAATAATCATCGAGATTCCTGCAAGCTGCAAAGCAAAAAATTACGCCGAGTGCACGAGGTGCCCACAGGTGGGGGTGGGGAAGTTTTGATTTTGTATAAAAAATACTGTTTTGTGGACAATCTTTTCTCTAATGGTCTTAATATTATGAATGTAGTTCCCCGGACATACCCACACAAATTTGAAGCATTCGGTTACACCTCTATGTTCCGACACCCCTATGTTCCGACTGCACATATTCCTATTCCTAACCCTAACCCTATCCCTAACCCTAACCGGGAGTAACACAATCTAGGTTGTTGGAACATAGGGGTGTCGGAACATAAAGCAGTCACCAAGCATTCTGCCTATTTACATATTCATTCAGCACTGATTTCCCCCATTGTAGATACACTGCATAAACTGTGACCATTACATGTTGGATCCCCCCAAAACATCGACATGACACAGCATCAGTACAGTATACACAGTGAAACAGCTGTCACTGGGCCAGCAGGAATATGATTGATGACATTTTTGCTAGGGCAGTCAACTAGGCGGTGAAACACAAAGAACTTTTTTTTGTGCACAACTCAATGGGCTTTGGC